GGGGTCTGGGAGGCCCTGGCCTGCCCTGGGCCCCGACCGGGGAAGAAGGCGCCGCTCGCCCCTGACTTCGAGGGCGGGGGCGCCGGCGTACTCCATCGCGAATCCACCAGGGTTCCGATGACCTGGGCAAGGCCCCGCCCAGAAGCGCCCCAGGCAGAACGAGCGGCCCCTTTAGGCCCAGGGCCGATGGGCCTTAGCGGAGGAAGCCGCGTTTGGTCCTCGAGTGGGCCATGGCGCCGCACCTCGCACGACGCAGCGACGAAGCGCGAAACGTGGCCGCATCAGACTCACAGGCGCCCCCCCGCCCGAGAGAACGGCCCAGCCGCTGCCGCGCACCGAAGGAAGGAGGGGCAAGGGCGTCCGCGGAATCAGGCGAGAGCCAGCAGGGTCAGCAACTGCGGCGGAACAGGGCCCATCCTGGGCGTCCTCTCCCTGCCCCGAGCTCCCTCCGGAAAGTGGCACATGGGGGGGCATGGGGGGGCGCCCAGCACATATACGAACCACTCCAGGCCCGCATGGTCGCCGAGCACCAAATCCCAACACCCAACCTGCCGAGCGGCGTGAACGTCATCTAGACGAGCCGCAGTCTCCCAGCAACCCTCGATCACCGGGCGGTCTTTGTCCGGCGGCATGTGCGGGCGGCATGTGCGCGGCCCAGCGGGGGGACCAGGGACGTATCGTGGCCCCCGCCATGACATCCATCCCCCCCTAGTCATCACCCCCCTCTTCTCCGCCCCAGTTTTACCTGGCTCCCCGAGCCGCTGAAGCTCGGCCACCGTGCCTGCCCCGACGCCCGCCCGGGCGGCGCGCCTCCTCGGCCTGCTCCTCCTCCTCCTCCTCCTCCTCCTCCTCCTCCTCCTCCTCCTCCTCGTCCTCGTCCTCCTCCTCCTCGCTCCTCGCTCCTCGCTCCTCGCTCCTCGCTCCTCGCTCCTCGCTCCTCCTCGTCCTCCTCCTCCTCCTCCTCCTCCTCCTCCTCCTCCTCCTCCTCCTCCTCCTCCTCCTCCTCCTCCTCCGGGCCTCGCGCAGCCTCCGCGCCCTCTCGGCGGTCCCCCATCTCAGCCTGCGCGCGGGCCCTCGCCGCTCCGCTGCCCGCGGCGCGCCCGCGGGGCCGCGCGGGCAGCCCGCAGCGCCGGCGCCGTCTGCTCAAAGGGGCGCCCCGGGGCCTGGGACCGCGCGCCTCGCCTCGAGGGCGTCGGGGGCGCGAAATCTCCCCCCCCCCCCCCCCCCGCCGCGAGCCCGCTGCTCGGGGCCACCCGCGCGGGGAGCAGCTCGGAGCGGCGCGGCGCAGGGGCCGCCTCTTCGCTGTCCTGGGCGACCACCGCCCTGCCGCCCCGCGCCCGGGAAAAGAAGAACAACAAGTGGCATAAACAGAAAAACTCGGAGGTCCGCGCGGATTTCTCGGATCGGCGCTGGGGCCCCCCGGCGGCGCCTCCGGCACCGCCCCTGGCGCGCCCTGGCGCGCTCCGCGCGCCAGGGATGAAGGGTCCAGCGCCGATCCGAGAAATCCGCGCGGACCTCCGAGTTTTTGTGCTTATGCTACTTTTCGTTCTATAGGGAAGTTCCCCGCCGCGCCCCCTCCGAGTTTCTGTGCTCATGCCACTTTTCGCTCTATAGGGAAGCTCCCCGCCGCGCCCCGGCCCGCCCGCGGACGCTGGGGCCGCCCCATCGGGGACAGACAGGGGGCCCGTGCCCCGGGGCCGCCGACAGGGCCTGGCGCGCGGGCCCGCTCGGGGCCCCTGGGCGGGCGGCGCGTCCGAGACGAGGGCGCTCGGGGGCAGGCCTCCGGGCACGCGGCCGCCCGCCGAGGTCGGGGGACGGCGCGTCCTCGGAGCCGCGAGGGCCGCCGAAGAGCCCTGCCGCCCCGCGCGTTTGGGAAGTGCCCCGCCGCGGCCCGGTCCGCCCGCGTAAGCTGGGGCCCCCCTCGCGGGGACAGACAGGGGGCCCATGCCCCGGGGCCGCCGGCGCGCGGGCCCGATCGGGGCCCCTGGGCGGGCGACGCATCCGGGACGAGGGGCTCGGGGGCAGGCATCTGCTTTGGACGCCCGGAGTGGGTACGGAAAGAATGATGGGGACACTGCCCAACAACAAAGAATGGGTACGGAAAGAATGGGTACGGAAAGGATGTGTACAAAATGGGTACGGAAAGAATGGGTACAATGCCCAACAACAAATGTTGTCCCAAACCAACAGCGGCCGCTGTTGGGCAGGCGGCCTTCTGTCTCGAATGGACACAGGCCGCGGCGGCGTGGACAGCGAGTCCTGTTCAAAATGAACAAAATCCGCTGTTGGGCATTGTACCCATTCTTTCCCTGCCCATCTCGTGCGTGCAGAATCTGGGAGCACGGTCGCCAGCCGAGCTCGGGGGACGGCCGGTCCTCTGAGCCGCGAGGGCCACCGAAGAACCCGACTTCTCGCGACGCCGCGCCTCGAAAGCCCAGGCACCTGAACCTGCGTCGGCAGACCCAGACATCCGACGTCTCGATTTTTTCGAGACGCGGGCCCCCGACCTCCCGTCCACTTCCTTGGGACTGGTTTTTCATCCCGAGTCGTTTTTTGACGGTCCCGAGGCCCGGCGAGGGCCCCGAGAGGCCGAAAACTATGAAAAACCTCCGCCTCGATTTTTTCGAGACGCCCGATGTCTGGGGAGGGCGCCCTTCTCCTGCCGGCAGGGCCGGCGCGCCCCCGCGGCCTCGGGGCCAACGGGCGGGCGCTCGATGCCGGCGCCCGTCTTCGCCGGCCGCCCGCGCAGAGAGGGCAGGCCTGCGCGCGCGGCTTCGGATCGTGGACCCCATGCCTGACAAGAGTAAAGGGAAATTAGGACACACAAATAAATACACACAAATAAAAATAGTCCCCATATTTCCTCATATTTTCTGGGTTTCTGTCTTCCCCCCCACTTCCCATATTTTCGCATATTTTCTGGGAATCGCAGATTAATCGTGTCTGTGTGTTTTTTCCCCTCCTGACCCATGTCTGACAAGAGGCTGGCAGACGGGCACCTCCTGGACTGCCCCGCCGCACTCGCGAAGGTCAGGCTGCGCGGCTTGCCCCCCCGCCGCTCGACGGCCCGGCGAGCAGCCCCGCCGACGCGAGCCGTGAGGGAACTCAGTCAGAGGGGGGCGCTGGACGAGCCGACGCCTGCCCAGAGCATCTCGGGAAGAGCAGCTGCTCGCATCGAAACTTCGCCGGGCCCTGGGCAAGAGCAGGGAGAGCGCGGCGACGGGCTGTCGCACTTGGCCTCGAGGGCATTCCCGACCAGGACCTCCCGCGCGTCCTGGGCGCAAGATCTGACGGGGCGCCTGCGAGGGAAGACGAGCCTCGCCGCCGTCGCCATCAGCCAAGCCCAGGCTTGCTGAGGCTACCTGGCATGCTCTGAATTCTATTGCGTCTGCACAGATGGTTTCCCGTCCAGCCTTGCCTGCAGTATATCCGCCGGCCCCCTTGTGGGGCCACCAGGCTGTAGGCCGAAGCTTCGCAGTTTCCTGTACCAGTTGCAGCTTCCAGGTTCCACTGTTACAGTTCTGCTTCTTGCTGCTCACTGGTCCTTGTTGACTTCTTGCTGCTTACTGTTCCTTGTTGATGGATCGCGCGAGGGGGGGAGGCACAAAACGCGCATTTTTACCACGCTCTGAGAGTGTTGTCTGAATTGCTGGGATGGGTAACAATTGGCACCCCTCACGCAGATCGGCGGGGTCAGGGTCCAAAAACACAAGGGATTTGCCACATGTCTGAAATTCGGCGGCACCCCTCACGCAGATCGGCAGGATCAGGGTTCAAAACACATGGGATTTGCCACGTTTCTGAAACTTGCTGGCACCCCTCACGCAGATCGGCGGGGTCAGGGACCAAAAAAGACAAGGGAGTTGGTACATTTCTGACATACGGTGGCACCCCTCACGCAGATCGGCGGGGTCAGGGTGCAACAAACACATGGGATTTGCTACATTTCTGAAAATTCGCTGGCACCCGTCATGCAGATCGGCGTGGTCAGGGTCCAAAAACAAAGGGGATTTGCCACATTTCTGACATTCGGTGGCACCCCTCTGGCAGATCGGCAGGGTCAGGGTGCAAAACACAAGGGATTTGCTACATTTCTGAAATTCGGCGGCACTCCTCATGCAGATCGGCAGGGTCAGGGTCCAAAAACATATGGGATTTGCCAAGCAGATCGGGTCAGGGTCCAAAAACACATGGGATTTGCCACATTTCTGAAATTCGGCGGCACCCCTCATGCAGATCCGTAGGGTCAAGGTCGAAAAACTCAGGGGATTTGCTACATTTCTGAAATTCGGTGGCACCCGTGATGAAGATCCGTAGGGTCAGGGTAGAAAAACAAACAAATCCCGACACTGCTTCACGGCGGCGCCCAGACCTCATGATTTAGCTTTCGCATCTCCCATTCTCCAAGACAGGGGGCCGGATGCATGGGGCGAAGTCCTTACTGATAACTATGTATATATATGTACATTTTTACACGCGGGAAGGGCAAGCTATGTTCCAGATAGAGTCCGGGGACAGAGGAGAGTACAATTCATAATGTGTACTTGTGGAGACGGGAGGAGGAGGAGGAGGAAGAGGAGGAGGAGGAGGAGGAGGAGGAGGAGCAGGAGGAGGAGGAGGAGGAGGAGGAGGAGGAGGGAGAGAGACGAGGAGACGTGCAGGAGATGAGGAGGAGGAGCAGGAGGCCAGGAGGAGGAGGAAAAGGAAACGGTGGTGGAGGAAGAGGAGGTAGATAAGGAGGAGGAGGCGGAGGGGAAGGAGGCGGAGGAGGAGGGATGGAGGGGGAGAAAGGAAAAGAGAAAGGGGAGGAGGAGGAGAGGAGGAGGAGGAGGAGGAGGAGGAGGAGGAGGAGGAGGAGGAGGAGGAGGAGGAGGAGGAGGAGGAGGAGGAGGAGGAGGAGGAGGAGGAGGAGGAGAGAGAGAATGAAGAGAGGAGGATAGGAGGAGGAGGAGGAGGAGGAGGACGCCTCTTCACCCCCACCTCGTCGTCATGGGGCGGGCCTCTTGATGGACTCCAGGTGGCCATAAGAGACCATCTCCGGCATCTCCTCCTCCCCGGCAGCGGAGGAGAACGGAACGGAACGGCACAACACACCTGTGCGGGCATGCTCCCGGGCCCCCGCCGTGCTATCCACACCCCCCCTTGTCATCTCCCCCGTCTTGGCCGCCACCGAAACCTCCCTCCTCCTCGTCCTCGTCCGCCTCCTCCTCCTTCGTCCTCCTCCTCCTCCTCGTCCTCCTCCTCTTCCTCTCCCATGCAGCTCCTCCTCCTCCTCCCCCTCCCCCTCCTCCTCCTCCTCCTCCTCCTCCTCCCCCTCCTCCTCCTCCTCTCTCAGCCCCGGCCCCCGAAGGGCGAGGCGGGTGAGGCCATGGCCTCGCACAAGAAACTGCGCGCGCGGGGCGCCCACTCGGGGAGGTGCGGAGGGGAGGCGACGGGGCGAGGCCCAAAGGCCAGGGCGCGCGTCGAACTCAGCACGCACGGAGCGGAGGTCGAGCGCGCGGAGGTCACTCCTTTGCCACCTCCTCCTCCTCCAACCTCCTCCTCCTCCTCCTCCCTCCTCCTCCTCCTCCCCTCCTCCTCCTCCTCCTCCTCCCCTCCTCCTCCTCCACCTCCTCACCTCCTCCTCCTCCTCTACCTCCTCCGCCCCCGTTGCCGTCGCCTCCGCTTTTCTTCCCCGTCTCGTTCCCCCCACCCCGTCTCTTTCCCCTCTCTTTTTTCTCCCCGTCCATCCTCTCCCTCCTCGGCCTCCTTCCCTTCCATCACCTCCTCATCCTTCTCCCTCCTCCCCATTCTCCTCCTCCTTCCTTCGCCATCTCCTCCTCCTCCACCTCCTCCTCCTCCTCCTCCTCCTCCTCCTCCTCCTCGTCCTCCCCCCCTCCTCCTCCTCCTCCTCCGTGTTATTCCCGCTCGTGTTCCTCATCGCCCTCCTTTCTCGACATCATGTTTCCCTTCCGATTCCCTGTGCCCTCCTCTCGTGCATCCCGCTTGCCCTTTTTCCCCGTCATTCCTCTTCCCGCTCTCTTCCCCGTCTCTTCTCCAAATCGTTGGGTTGCCACGGCCCTGATAGGGGCAATCCCCTCCGCTGTCAGCCATCGGCTTCGGCCCCAGCGGGGCGAACAGCGCGGACTTGGTATGACAACCTGTTTCTGCATGTCAGCGTAGCCTTCATGTAAGCGTCGGCAGGCGGGTGCCCGCTGAGGACCGAAGCGGCACCAGATCGCAGATTGGCAGGATGGTATCGGACCCATGCCTGGCACGAGGAAGTCCAGTGCCATTTTGCAAACCTGCTGGCTGGGTCCTGGGTGGTCTCGCCCCCCTCACTGGCACTGGTTCAGGGGAACAGAAAGTGACACAAACATAAAAACTCGGAGGTCCGCGCGGATCTCTCGGATCGGCGCTAGGAGGGAGGAGGGAGGAGGAGGGAGGAGGGAGGAAGAGGAGGGAGGAGGGAGGAGGAGGGAGGAGGGAGGGAGGAGGGAGGAGGAGGAGGGAGGAGGGAGGAGGGAGGAGGAGGGAGGATGGAGGAGGGAGGAGGGAGGAGGGAAACGGCGGCGGCGGCGGCGGAGGCGGACGGCGGCCGCCAGCGGCCTCGCCCCGCGCGGCGGCCCACGAGCACGGCACCGGAGGTGCTGCGCCGCTGCCGGGCCCAACCACACCGGACAGCTTCACGGAACGGAGGGGCAACGACAGGGGGGCGTTGGTAGAACTGGGTTCAGTGGAACCTGGTTTAGTGATCTGTACCGGGGGCGCCCCCCCCGCCCCATGTCCTCTAACCGGAACTGCCATCACCCGAAAAAGCACCAGCTATGGCAAACCTGGTTTAGCGATTCTGGCCAATTCGAAGGCTCCGGGGCCCTACCACTAACCGGGTCTCCTTACCTGGGGTCCTGGCCATACCCGAGACAGGGGGGATAGGGATAATGGGGGGGAAACATCGACCTGGAATCGGCGACGCATCGCCGATGGATCGGTGATAGGCCTCCGAAAGTGAATCCGCACCTTCCTGGGCAGGTTGGGGCTATCGGGCCCCTATCGGCGATCAATGGGCGATTGGGTGTCGATGCATCCCCCCGTATGCCTATCCCCCCCCTATCGTTGTCCCTGAGGAACGGAGCGGAACGGAAGCCGGCGCAAGGCTCCGCGAGGGAGCTGCCAGGAGGGCCGAAGCCCGCTCACATTTTGATGGAATCGTCCCTCAGGTGGTCCCACGCCTCCAGCTTCGCAACCTGTGTCCAAACATCTTCAGACTCCAGACATCTTCGGGCTCAAACAACTACTCATCCGTGGGGTATAGGGAATCCTCCCAACTAGCGTCGACCACCAGATCTGCGTGTATCACGTCGGTGGGCGCATGGGCTAGCATCATATCCACGTCACTTCACCCAAGCTTGGCTCAGTTCCTGCCCGTTCACAACTACGTCTGTAGTCGTCTCTCTTTGCTTCGACACCTGAATGCCTTTGGTCACATGCTCATCTCGTCAGGTCATTATTTCCTGGAACATCATCGCACTGTTTCCGCGTGTGCGCAGTCTGTTCGGTTCGGTCACTTGTGCCTGGCCTGCCAGATCGAGGTACAGTAAGTTAGGCGCCGCCCCTGCATGACCGCGAATCCGTCGTCTCTGTGCTCCCGAAAACACGGTTCCCTTGCCCTTCACGCCGATCGATCGAGGCGGTCGGGGATCGCTCGAGGCAGTCGAGGCTGTCGAGGCTTTCGAGGCTCGTGGATCGAGGCTCCGATCGATGGGGATCAGGGATCGATCGGGGCCTCCCAGGACCGTTCGGGGCCTCTGAAGATCTAGCGTCGATCGATCCAAGGTCGGGGGAGGCCCTCCCTCGTGGCAAGAGGAAGGGAGGATGATCAGGGGGAAGACGAGCATGAGAAGTGCGAGAGGAGTCGAGAACGACAGGAGGAGGAGAAGGACGAGGAGAGACGGGAGCAAGAGCAACGTGAGGGGTGTCGAGCAGGAGCAGGAGGAAGACGAGGAGGACCAGGACGAGGACGTGGAGGAGGGGGAGGGGGTGGTGGAGGAGGATGATCAGGATGAGGAGTGGAGGATGAGAAGGAGGAGGAGAGGAGAGGAAGGAGAAGGAGGAGGAGGAGGAGGAGGATACAAATGATCACGAAGAGGAACATGATAAGGAGCACGAGGAGGAGTAGAGGAGGAGGCAGAGGAGGCGGAGGATCCAGAGGAGGATCAAGAGGAAGCAGTAGGATATGAGGAAAGGAGGCGAGGCGATCACGAGACGTCCAGGCGTAGGAGGGATCCTCTCCCTGGTGCTACTGCCCCTCTCCCCCTCCCCTCAGCCCCCGGCCTCCCCCCTCCTCCTCCTCCCTCTTCCCCTCCGCCTCCTCCTCCTCCTCCTCCTCCTCCTCCTCCTCCCTCCTCTTGATCCTCCTCCTCCCCCACCCTCCTCCTCCCCTCCTCCTCTCCCTCCTCCTCCCCTTCCTCCTCGTCCTCCTCCTCATCCTCCTCCTCATCCTCCTCCTCCTCCTCCTCCCCCCCCTCCTCCTCCCCTTCCTCCTCTCCCTCCTCCTCCCCTTCCCTCCTCTTCTCCTCCTCTTCCTCCACCTCCTCCTCCTCCTCCTCCTCCTCCTCCTCCTCCTCCTCCTCCTCCTCCTCCTCCTCCCCCCTCCCTCCTCCTCCTCCTCCTCCTCCTTCCTCCTCCTGCTACTCCTCCTCCCTCCTCCTCCTCCTCCTGCTCCTCCTTCTCCTCCTCCTCCTCCTTCTCCTCCTCCTCCTCCTCCTCCTCCTCCTCCTCCTCCTCCTCGACCCCTCGTGTTCCACACGCCCTCCCCGCTAGAGGCTGGCCAGGCTCTCCTCCGCAACCGCGTACAGCCTCGTCAAAGGGGCGGCAGGCCCCTGGCGGGCGCGGCGAGAGAGCTCGCGAGAGGCGGGGGCCGCGCCGAGGGGGCCCGAGGGGTAACAAGCACGGCGAGAGGGAGAGGCGTCTCCTCCTCCTCCTCCTCCTCCTCCTCGTCCTCCTCCTCGTCCTCGTCCTCGTCCTCCTC